TACATTATAGGTGGTTACTGGAAGAAATTGGCTATGGAAAGAATGATATCCTGGAATTAACCATATGTGATGGAAAATTTGAGACCGGACGGAAAAGTTGGAGGCAACCAAACAGGGTTCTGGGGTGCTGTTAGTTTCCGTCTGTGTCGATTAAGGACCGATCGTTGCTCGTCCCTCTTGTCATGTTGAACGCATGCCTCACATTTAGCTGGCCGGATAAAGTACCTTTCGACCGCGAAGCTAGTGGCACTATTTGGGCCGGGATCTACATGAGTGCGCGTATTGGTGCTGATGGGGGTATGACAGGGGCGCGAAGAGTGAGCCCAAGGGCAGGTGCAACCTGATTCCTGGTAGTCGGGCGGTCCCTGGGTACTGCGACTCTAGATTGTCCCGCGGCTACCTGAAAAGTGTCATTGGTGATCTGTAGCTCACTTGATCGGTGAGTGTGGTTTGTGTGAGGAATAAATCACCAGCTGGTTAGGAATCGATTCGAATCGCCATCGCTCCTGGATAGTGAGCACTTGACTCGAGCTACGACATCGTAGTAAGTATGATGGAACACTAATGGTTATCTGGATGATATGAGCTATGCTAAATCTAAGTTGGTAACTGGATGTTATTGATTAATCAAGTGATTGCTATAGTACAGGTGCTTACCTAGATGGATAGGTCATAATAAAGATGATGCAAAGTATTTAAAATGGTTTCTTCATGATAGCTTATGCTTTTCGCAAATAAGTCAGCTAGCCCACTAAAGAAAGCCTTGCATAATCCTTGATGTCGCTTTATTTTGGTTTAAGACGGGTAAGTCTAGCTGAGTACCTTCTCATACTCAAGGCGTTGTTCCCATTGTTGTTGCAGATAGTCAAATGTACTACAGCTATTGCATTAACTGCCTGTACCCGGCGATGGGTGACAACTAGGACCAAGGGCAAAAGGTCACTCCGTATCTCTCATCTGATGCTTTTGTTGGAAATGACTACCTACTGGCATTGTATCTGAACTAAAAGTGTGTGTGGCTTTAAAACTATTTGCTTCCGCTATTTCAAATCGAACTTGGGTTGTAATAACTTTATGTTCTAAACTCTAATGTATCCACTGTCATTGTGAGCTTTATGTAACATGTGACGATACTTGCTAAACTTGTACGATCTTGGTTTGTATGTCGATTGGTTTGAAATCCTTCGTGGTTTCACGGACTACCGGGTTATACGGGCTTAAGTTTGCTAAATTATCTGCTTCGGCGGAAGATTTTCTTACTTAATCTCATATAATTGGTCGGTTATGTTACAACCCGGAGCGGCGAGATCCGAGCACCTCCATCCTTCTCCGGCGCCAGCTCGTGCAAGACCGGTGGCCTTCCATCCACTGTCGCGCCCCAATCCGAGACCCAGAGTGGCGAGATCCGAGCGCCTCCATCCTTCTCCGACGCCAGCTCGTGCAAGACCGGCGGCCTTCCATCCACTGTCGCGCCCCACTCCGAGACCGGGAGCGGCAAGATCCGAGCTCCTCCATCCTTCTCCGACGGCAGCTCGTGCAAGACTGGTAGTCTTCCCCCCTCTCTCCACGCCGACGAGCCTCCATTCGTCCAAGTAGGAATAAGATGTTGCGCTGATTCGGCATGTTGTAAGGGTATGTTTCAAGTGTTTCAGGTGTTTTCATACGCATGTTGCAAGTGTTCATCTAGATGTTGCAAAGTGTTTTCATACGTATGTTGTAAGTGTTTCAAGTGTTTCATATGGATGTTGCAAGTGTTTTATTGGAATGTTGCAAAAGTATATTGGGTGATGTTGCATGTGTTGCAATGGATACACGCGTATGTTGCAAGTGTTTCAGTTATTCTAGATGGATTTGTTGCAACTGTTTTATTTGGATGTTGCAAAATAGATCTGGATGTTTCATGTGTTACAATGGCTTCACATGTATATTCTAAATGTTTCATTTGTTTTCAAACATATATTGCAATTGTTTTCCTCTGTATGTTGCAAAACTAGTTCTGGAGGTTGCAAAAGTGCATCTGTTTTTCAAATTCCCTCGTGCGCGTGCAAAATAGAGCGAGCGAAACCGCGCGCACGCGTGGAAAGGAGCGGCGCGACGGTTCCACAGGGCCCGCACGCGCGTGCAATAGAGCGGGCGGCGCGGCGTGTGAAACGGAGTGGGGCGGGATGGATCTGCCACGAGTCTGAGCAAACAGGACGGAGCATGGAGCTGCATCCGGATGCGACGTCCTGTCCGGATGTCCGGGCGCCAGAGCGTTCCGCATATTTAATAGTAAAGGACCGTTGTAGAAATAGACCGAATAAAGTCGAATATTTTGGATAGCGACATTTACCATATTCGAATATGAACATGGATTAAGACATTATCAAATGCAGATGTAAAATAGATATAGTTTTTTAGATAGTTTGAATTTAGATTCAAATTCGGATATCTATTTGATTTGGGAGATAGAAAATAATATCCATTTGGACGTGTGCGTGTTCATCCCTAAATGGATAGCCACATAATGAGAAATATAAGTTCAAACATATGCATATGAATATAGTAAGTTATTATGCAAAAAATTACAATTATAATGGACACTATCGGATAATTCCTCTATTCAATCCCAACGTTTTGAATAAGGCATTGAGCATAGAACCACAAAATTCATTCCGTGGACCTCATAGACCGCATTCATGGACGTCCATTGCACACTCCTAATGATCGCTTGAATGATCTCCTAATGACACAAATATACATGCAAATTATTCAAACAACTACTACTTCTTTATTATTAATCTGTCCAAAAAGTCCACTACTGAAAAAACTCTCCAAAGCTTTGTGTCCGATAGATCAACTCCTCCTTGGCACTAGTCGCGGGCGCAGCGGGTTCTTCATGACGGTGGTGAACTCGCTCTTCTCCCCGAACTCCACCTCATGGCCGGGCGCCTCCTTCCACTCGAACTCCCTCACCATGTTGGCCACGAAGAACTCGAGGTGCAGCATGGCGATGGACAGCCCGGCGCAGATCCTCCGCCCCACGCCGAACGGCATCATCCTGATCCCCTTGGTGCCCGTCATGTCCACGCCCACGCCGTCGCCGCCCTCCAGGAACCGCTCCGGGACGAACTCCATCGGCCTCTCCCACTCCTGCTCGTCGCGGCCCATCTCGGCCACCATGAAGTTCACCGTCGCGCCCTTGGGGATCAGGTACCCGCCGACGTCCATGTCCTCGGCGGCCTTGTGCGGAAGCACGAAGTGGCCCGGCGGGTGCTTGCGCAGGATCACCGCCTTAAGGTACGGCATCCCGTGGACGGCCTCCTCCGAGACCGCTTCGGCGTCATCGCCGCACGTGGCCTTAATCTCCGCGTGCAGCCGGTCTTGGACGGTCGGGTTCTTCACAAGCTCGGCCATGATCCACTGCAGGCCCGTGGAGGTGGTGTCGGTGCCGGCGGTGAGGAACTCGGAGCAGAGCGCGACGATCTCGTCGTCGGTGAGCGCGCGGTGGCCCTCCTTCGCGGGGAGCGTGATGTCGAGCAGGGTGTCCACGTACGAGTGCTGGAACGTGGTCTCCCTCGCCGGTGCCTGGCCGGCCTTGGCCTGCCGCTTGTACTCGCGCCGAGCGTTGATGAGCGGCACGAAGAGCTCCGCCTGGCGCCGGCGCAGGGCGCGCGCGGTCTGCAGGCGGCCGCGGAAGACGTGCCTGGTGACGGACGGGAAGAAGAAGAAGACGCTCATCTGCTGGGAGATGTAGAGCAGCCACGTGCGCTCGGCGTCCTCGATGGTGCGCACCGCGGGCTCGTCCAGCCGCTCGCCGAAGCACATGAGCACCAGGAGGCAGAACATGGTGTACCGGAACGCCTCCATGACGTCGCACGGCTCGTCGTCCCCGCCCGCCCACAGCTTGTCCATGAGGACGCCGCGCACCCAGGCGCGCGCGGGCGCGAACAGCCTGACGCGCGACGGGTGCAGCGTCTCGGCGACGAGGTTGCGGCGCAGGAGGCGCCACACGGGCCCGTAGTCGGCGCGGGTGATGATGTTGTCGCTGACGCCCAGGAGCGAGCTCGTGGCGGCCTGCGGGCGGTTCGCCATCGTGACAGCGCCGGCGCCCACGAGCGCGGCGTGCGCGAGGCGGCGGTCGGCCACGAAGATGGCGAGCCGGGAGCCCATCCGAAGCGTGACGACGGGGCCGTACCGCTTGAAGAGCTTCAGCAGCAGGGGCTCCACGTCCGCCGCGGAGTTCCTCAGCCACAGCAGGTTGCCGAACAGTGGCACGGCCGGGGGACCCGGCGGCAGGCGGCGGTTCTTGGTGTGGCGCCGGCGGAGGACGAGGAGCGAGAGCAGGAGGGCGCCCGCGAGGAGGATCCAGCTGGTCTCCATTAGAGGTGTTGTGTTTTTGCGACGAAACTCTGTTCGTGTTGATGTTTGTCGTATGATGATGAGGAGATTAGACGAACGGGATTCCAGTTTTATAGTGAGGTTTTGTACGTGGAGTCCCGAGTCCGTACAACATGTCGAGGGAGATATGGTTTCGACATGGTTTCATGCTGGGATAAGGTCTGAACATGGGTTTTCGTCTCATAAGCCCCAACAAGCGAACATGCTGATCATCTGCCCTACCCACCCATACTTTTGGTTGTTTTTTATTTATGCAGTTTTGATCTAGAAGAGTATTATTTTGAAGTGGGAGTATGGGAGCACTGGATACATTCTCACATATCCACCCATGCAGGATGATCTTCATGCGAGAAAGGCAGGAAGCAAACAGATGTCAACGGCTACCATCAGTTTAGTACCCTCCATGACCATCCACTTCGCGTTTGGCTACGAATTCTTACTCCTTCGAAAACTTGATCGCACATCATTCTTGTTCTGGCTTCCATCTCACGTTCTCCCTCATGATGCAACGATGTTCAAAGTGCTTCTAGAAAACCATTCTACAGTGCGCCAGCTGCCTGATCTTGTAGGGCATTCGAAGAAAAACACTCTCTTCTTCTGCCCGTGCAGGAAGAAAAACTCTATTTCTGCTGCTGCAGCTTCCCAACAGAGTGCAGGTACACAGAGACAGAAACGACCCTGAAAATCAACAAGCCATAAGAGAGCTTGTTAAATTAACATGGACTACAACCGTAGTCTAGTCAACACAAGTTGCGACCGTGCTTCCATGAGCACTTACGTGGATCCAAGCAAGAACGCAAGAGACAGGTGGAAGCCAAATAAGAAGACGGATACTATTGCCGTCAGAAGCATTGCAACTGATGTTGAGTAAACCTGTGTGCATGCAACTGCACATTGTTAGCACATGGTGATATGAAAAGTTTGTTAGATGCCTCAGTAGTTATATAGACAATTCATTATATCCATGGTGAGACATTTTGGTGAATCTTAGCAATGCCTCAAATATCAGTCTAGACACTGGACTGGTGCACTATAGTCGCGTGTTGCTTCTACAATGGCCAATGGGGAACCCGTAGTCCTCTGTTTGTGTAGACATCTAGGGATCATATTACATATTTATTAAAATAGTTTTCAAACAAAAAGAAGACCTTGTTTATCCATCAAAGATGGTGTGACACAAGTTCTGCTGCTACTTGGTCACAAAATGTGACATTTTCTTAAGTGATACCTAATGTAAATCGTGCAAGTAATCCAGAATAGACATGTTGACAGAGAATATACATGATGGTGATGGCGTGAAGGGCCTTCAGTGGGTTCAAAAATGTGATTATTATATCTTAACCCTAATCCATGGCTTTGATACCATGTTACTAACCTTGGAGATTACAGAAGACAAAATACTTCATTAGTGGAGAAGACAATATATAGAGAGCCTCACGGGCCATATGGGCTAACAGATGCATCGGTTATCCACTTGGTGTAATTTCACGATGAAGATTGGAACTATATGTACAACTAGTATAGGTTCTGGAAGAGTTAAATACTTGTTATGCATGCAAAAAACAAAACAAAAAGGGCATGCTCTAAATGGGAAACAACTGGATGACAAATACCAGATGATAACAACTCTGGCTGTGTAAGCATAGGCTGCAAAATAGCTAAATTGGAAGGGAGAGTCCCAGTAGGGGCAACAGCCAACAAGGGGTAACATGGTGGCTGAAGTTAGTAATTACTAATTAGAAAAGATGGTAATTAGGAATTCATTTAACCTCGAAATAAGCTGCTGAGCTTCAGACCTACACTGTTTGCACACACATGTAAATGAAAAGATAGTAGCTAGTACCTTGACAATATTGTCTGCATACTTCATCACCATTGATACAGCAATTCCACTGCAAAACAAATATAAATACTCGATTTGATTGGGAAGAAAATAACAAGGATGCAGCTAAGACCAACAGGGCAATAGTGAAAACAACTAATATGATTCAACTGTCAGTACCTCAGAGCATGGTTAAGAATCATCAAAACTGTAATAAACGAGTAGCCATGAAAAAAGCCTCTGCACCAGATGGCACATTCAAATGGAATGGTCAATATCATGAACTGTAACAGGTGACATTAATGAAGCACTTGTAAAAAAATTCTGCACTAACTTGTTCATAACAGCATCGAAGTCCTGGACACAAATTGCAACCAAATTGAAGAGCATCCCAAATATGTACAGCCAAAAATTCTGTGCATTTATATTTCTTGAAGGATGTTTCTTGATGATAACCTGGATTGTTCAAAACATAAAAAAAAGGGCGTACCCAGTGCATAAAGGAATATATTACATTCCTAAAGAAATCCATTGATATTTCATATCAAATGTATTTTCAAAAAAAAAACAAGAATACAAATGATGAAAAGAGTAGTAGTAGTAGTAGTATGGAGTCACAAACTTCTGTATATACTCCTGCAAAACCACTTAGAAGAGCCATCACCTGCAAAAAGGGAAAAAGAGCATTCAGGTAGTTGTTAAGCACTTCCTCTAGTATGTCCAAAAGACAGGATCGATTATTTTTTCTGCTTCACTCACAATTGCCATCACCCAACCTTGAATAGGGGTCTGAAGAACATGGTCTGACCTGGAAAAGGACAGATAAGAAAAGAATGAGGGGGGAAAACGTTGAACAAACAAGAAAAAGAATGAAGGGGAAAACAGGCATACGAGGGACTGAGCTGAGCAGTAGTGCAGCCAGCACATAAAAGAATAAATGCAGCCCACTGAATTTCACTTAACCTGCATTAGTTCAACCATCCTAAATTAACAATGGAAAGCAGGTACTGGGGAAGAAAATATTAAAATAACTGGAAGGAATGAAATGGAAAACAAAGAGGTTTTGTTATGATGGCCAGTTAAGAGGGTAGCAAGGTATCAGATTCAACAAATGCGCCAGTTTCAGATATCAGAGTTAGAATTTGCATAGTCCATTAAGCAGCCAGTTTCTCAAGTTGAACAGTTCAATAGAGTACGGATTCAAACCTAATGATGACAATTTATTTTACAGATTGAAGTTCACCACAACTCTTTCATCACAGAACTATAATTCATGTCTTCCAGTTTTAGCATCCAGCGTTGCATCAAAGATTTCAAGTGAAAGCGAACCCAATGACATAGTGGATGTCACTTGTTAGCAAAGAAAACTGATAAAAAAGAACAAGCTCATTAGACTTACTTTTTCTTGAGAATTATACGGTACAGGACACCAGTGCTGATAATATTCAAGTTCTTCAGAATCTGGTAAGCTGGCGCATCCACATATGCAAAGATATAATACTGACAACCACAGAAGCAGGGAAAACATGGTTATGTTTTGTTTATTTTTTCTTTTTTTAAAATAAAAAAAAATCCTACGTCGGAAGGACTGGGCAACTGAACATACCTGCAATAAGTTCTTCACCAGGTAAAGCATTGCCGGAATGGGGTAAACTCTAACTTCATCAAACGATGTAGTTAACCTGAAAATAATAAAACCAAAGGTCTAGAAGGTGGAAGAAGACAACACACCCCTAATATGTACTATCGAGAACAACAAGCATGGTAAAATCATCACCTATTATCTTCTGTAACACCTTGACTGTTCCATGTCCTGTACAAGGCTACAAGTGACAGTAGACATTTCAAAGCTTCCACCTAGACATTGAGAAAACAGAATACATAACCACATCCACAATACTGAAAACTCCTGAAGATATAGTCACTGAGAGAATTCAAGCATTTCGCTCACCGAAAAATTTGCTGTTGTGATACTATATTCATACTTTCCAGCTCTTTTCGACCATACAATCAATATTGCCTGGGAACTTGTTAGCAATGTCAATGCAAGTGTAACAATGGACCTGAAAACCACATTGCCGATACAACAAATGATTTTCAGAAAGAATGAAATTTAGTAAAAATATTGCAAGAAATAAGCCTTACTTTAGCTTCCAACTATCCTTGCCCTTCGGCCCTCCTGCAGTGCTAAGACTCGAAGTTGCTGTATCTGTAAATGGTATAGGTATGAATGCTAAGAATATCCCATATACAGCCCATCCGGAAAAAGAACATCTGCATGATGAATCAAGAGCTTACTGCTAGAAAGAGATCTCCTATCAAAGCTCTCTATGTCCTTCTCGGATACGTCATCGCTCTCCTTTTAGACGGGCCGGGTCAGACAAAAGACAGCTTGTCAGTGCATGCTCTGTTATTGAAATACAAAATTATTGTAAGCCCATTTTTCTCGAAAAGGAAAGCAACTATTGCCAGCGTTTAACTTTACGTATGACCAATGACAAACATCAGCAAGATAAAACAGTACAGGACAATTTTAAGTTGAATTTAATGTCTAAACCATACTGGTCACTGCTAACACATAATAGCAGGCACAAATTATTTCCCAAATTATGTTTACAAAAACAAAGGATGAATCAGATGGCTTGTGTATCAGAAAAGGTCCGATTGCAAGTGCATGGATGGATAGAAATGCTGCACTCACAAACTCAGCCGTTAAATAGCCAAATGTAAATTTAACAAATAAATTTGTAAATTACAAGAATTAATGTCAGCATAACGTTAACGACTTGTAGTCAGCCATGAGCAATATACACTGATCGAATAATCACTCACCTGCTAATGGCTACATGGGTACATACCATCTACCAGACTCAACAGTTAATGGGAGTGAAGCAGGCAACTGTGCCTAGATGAGAAATATGAGATTGAGACTTCAAATCAGACAAAAACGAACCAAAAGTGCTCACAGATGTATTTCAGTTTTATTTCAGTCACAAATATATATTAAGAAGGAGAGGAAATCATCTAACTCGATCAGCACATTTTGCTATGGAAACCCCCGAATCTCGCAGACATTAGGGAGGCTAAACTAGAGAGGGTAAGATAAAATCGAGATTGCGGTTGCGGCGGTGGTGAGGAACGAAGTGAAAACCTACCAAACAGTTTTGAAGAAACCACCGCCGCAGCAGCGACGGCCGATGTAATCTAATATGGAGATTCGGGCGGCGGCATTGCTGTAGATAAACATCGCGGGCTCATGCGTACCTGATCCTTCACTCTTCTGTGCTCCATCTCTTCCCCACGAGCGGCGAGCCTTTGCCTCGCCGGCTCTGCAGTTCTGCTACTGCGTTTTCTTTCACAGGAAGGAAGGAATAACGCAGACGTCAGGGAAGGGCTGGGCAGGCAAGCACCGCTGCACGCTGGGGCCTCGTGTAGTCTTGTGTGTGATCAAGTGGTAACTGATAGCAGGCGAAGTGCTGGCGTACCTAGCTGGCCAAAAAAAAAAAAAAAAAAAAAAAAAAAAGGAAAAAAAAAAGGACCCGAAAGCTGACAATATTTTACAGTTGGGTGTACATACAGTTAATTGTGGGCAGTAAATAACTTTTTGGAAGGACGTAAGGCCTTGTTCGTTTCACTGAAATTTGGTTTATGCTCATACTTATGTTGATTTGTTATAAGAGAAAAATATTGTTCGTTCGTTGAAAAGTACTATTAAAGTAGTGTTCGATGAGCTGACATCCAATGAATCGATAAATGACCATTAGAGGTCTACCAATGCATACACATTCTCATAAACTAACTCACCGTCTCCAACAGGTTACCCATGTGGGCAACAAAACCTAAAATGGGTATTGGATGGTACTGTTTTGGTCTCCAACAGAGTATCTATATGCGAGACGTATTTTTTATTGCAACAGAGTCGCAACCCAAATATGATTATTCTTTTTCCTGGAGACTCAACTGCAGAAATAGTTCTCTTTTAGGTCCTATTGTTGGAGAAGACCAAAAATTGGTATTGAACATTTTATCTGTAACGCTATCTAAACGTGAAATAGGTCTTATATTTTGAGTGATGTTGTTGAAGATAGTCTAAACATAAGTGGATGCACACATATTAAAATAATATATCAGCACTGTGAATACAACGGCTAACCTGTTTTAAGCTGCAAATATGTACTGTTGCTACAGTACTTACTCTCTTATACAACCAGCCGCTGCTGTAGCTGCTACTGCAAAAGCAAGCAGCGAAACATTGCAAGTCTATTGCCTAGCTAGTCGTTGTGCAACTCTCCTATCTGTTTCACAACTCTCCTCTCCATTCCACAAAACACAATCAACAGGTGCAAGTGTTCTCCCTCTCCTTGTGTTTTATGAGATGGAGAGGAGAGAGCGAAGCATTTGTATCTGCTGCTTGCGTTTTATGAAATGGAGAGGAGAGAGCACTTGTATCCCTTGTTGCTTTTGTTTTGCGAAATAGAAATGACAGTTGTGCTTTTTGTAAAGCAATGAGAACCACTAGCTTTGCAATGAACAACGGTCAGATAGTTGGCAATTGTATACTCTATACTGTGCTGATATATTATTTTAATATTTGTGCATTGACACATGTTTTAGAGTCGATTTCTGATAATATGTATGCACCGGTAGACCTCCAGTGGTCATGCATCGATTCATTGGATGCTGGCTCATCCTATGATTCGATGCAAAGTCCACAGGAGAAGCCCTTAGGAAGCCTAAACTTAAATAGGCTGACAAAGTTTATATGTAAATTATGATCGAAAGCAATTAGGAAGCCCAAACTTAAACACTTCAGCATCTATTCAATTAAATACATGCACCAAACATCTCTTCAAGCATTCCTAGCTTCACGCCTGGAGATATTCCTCTTAAAGTGGCTTATTCTGCTTAGAAAAATATGTGAAGAATCTTGAGTCATGGTGACTGATTGTTGTGCTAATGGGGAGCGGAATGTGAATTTCAAAAGAAACCGTACAGAGAACGATGTTCACCAAGTGAGTGACACGTTGGATAACCTGCGAAGGGTGACTCCAAATGATAAGAATGAGGCCTGTTTGAATTCGGGTCTAAAGTTTAGACTATCTTAGCTCTTGAATGTTCTAAATAGGTTATCTAAAGTGTTGTCCCAAGTTTAGGTAACCTAAACAAGATGTTAGTTCATTAGACCACACAAGTAAACTTTAGAATCTATTTGGTTTAGCTGTGGACAAGCTGTTGTGAGTTGTGAAAAAACCGCTGTGAGCTATGTGCTTTGAAAAAGTTGTAAGCTGTTTGCTTGAAATAAGTTCACAGCCATTTGGTGAACAATCAGTTGAAAGAGTTGCACATGTCAGTAAGTACAATATAGTGAAGTCGCTTTATATTCATTCAACTACAAGTACTACAAGCGCTCTTTGTTATATACAAGGTCGTGTATCAATCCATGAAATTTCTGTGGCTCCACCTTCAGTTGGTGCAGAGATTGGACGGAAACCCAAGAACTCTTATTCATTAGGTTTACTTTCATTTGCACAGACAGATTCATCACCATCCAGAACGACGACATCATTCAGGATCTGAAGATGAGGCTCTTGCAGCTTGGAGCATTTCCACGATCAGTGTCTTAACATCCCTGTACAACAGTAACAAGAACATGTCAGAGAACCGGTCAAGGAATATTCAGAGGCATCAATTTTAAATGGTGTACAAGACATAGTGAAAGACAACCATGAAGAAAAAGCATCTGAGCTTAAGGGCCCCTTTGGAACGCAGGATTTAACATGAATTGTATAGGAATTTCATAGGAATCAGTTCATTTTTCACGGAAAAATAAGAGTTGTGCCAGATTAGAAGGCTAGGAGAGTCAAGAGTGGGGGACCCACTTCCTGTCTTGCGCCTGCCTTGGGAAGGGGATACGCAACTTCAGAACACTTCCATCATAACCAGCCTGGGCAGCAGAAATAGGCATATTAGAATTTATAAGAGTTGGATTCTTTTTTCAATACATGAGAACAGAGCTCATTAATTAAAGGTGCAATTGTCTAGCCAAATAGGTAAAAGATCACAGTCGAACAAATTGTATTATCCAGACCATAATAAAGGCCAGAACATTGAAATGTTGCAATTCTGTTATGATATTGTAATGCTGACCTTGTGGTTACTGATCCATTTTTTAGTCCTACTGATCCGAACTGAGTAGGAAAAATATAGCATATAATTTGCAGGTATTATTTTGTCTAGTTTATGGCACTGTTACCATTGCATTAGAGCGCCTCCAACAAGAAACCCATATGGGCACCCAAACCCAAAATGGGTATCAAGAGACCCAAAATCAGCCTCCAACAGAGTACCTATACGGGAGACCAATTTTGAGTTGTCTGAGAGGCACAACCCAAATATGGACATCCTCTCTCCTGGAAACCCATTTGCATAAAGGATTTTCTTTTGGATCTTGTTGTTGGAGAAGATGCCGAATATGTATTGAATCTTTTGCCTGTAGCGCTACCCAAAGGACGAATGGGTCTTGTATTTTGGGTGTTGTTGTTGGAGATAGCCTTAGTTAGTATCTCAGTATGACATTGAGCAGGTACAGGGCATTTCCAGGACAAATTAGCAAAGTATAAGGCATATGCTGTAAAGAGTTACCTTCACATTAAAACCAAGGCTGTCCACATCCAGCATATAAGCAAAATCCACCTGAATGCATTTGTCATCTTTCAAGTTTCAATATATTTGAAAGCAATATTTGGTCAAAAGTGTGACAACACAAAATGGACAGACTGTAAAAGAAGTTATGCAAAGCACTGAAGAATTCCTCCTTTGCTACTATCCCAGGCTCATGGGTGATCAAGAGTTTCATGACTGCATTGTTTGGTAATACTGATAACTAAACACTATGTACAATGCTAACTACAGCAATGAACCCAGTTCTTCGATGCAGATTCCAGCAAACCGCAGAATAACACTTCTGGTTGCCAAGTATACCAACAGATATGCATAACAAATAGACTATAAAACAAATGGTTACATTCATTTGTAAACTAGTTTGCAATTTTGAATGAATGGCTTGCTGTTTTCCCAGGGCAAGAATTGCACAGTTGCACACAGATCTAGCCCTGGATGATACTACCTTTGCACCTGTGTATTGACAAGACAGGAAGCATATGCTTAAACAGAGTACAATTTTCACTTTCCGAACTACAAGCAACACAATGTGTCAAGAACAAAAGATACACATATATGATGAATAAAAAATGCTAGTTATTTAGTTACAGAAATGACTACATTATAAAAAACAGACAGCGTCCTCACCCCTCAGGAAAATAATATTTAGGCACAATTTCTTCAAGATATATCAGGTTTGGCAGTAATATTATTGGAATAAATACTTTATTGCTATATTGTTGGAACAAATGCTACATAAATAGACTTCATCATTAACTTGCCTTAACAGTAGTGGAGTGTTGCACAATGAGCTTTGTATCATCGGCATGATCCTTGTTCATATGGCTCTGTAGGGCATATGCATAATGGAAGGTTCAAACATTTAGTGTAAAGCCCAATAAATATATAAGAGCAAGGAGTAAAGGGAAACAGAATCCAGACATACTGTAATAGGAGTTGAGAATTGAGATATTGGATCAACTTTTGCTTCCTTGTACTCGACAGCACTGAATTCTGGGGATTTTGACATTAGGTTAGCATATTAGGCAAAAACACTATCACCAAATTATTTTTTGTCAGGTTTACAGAATTCAGTATCTCAGATATGTAGTTGTTATTTATGCATTTATGCTAATAGTGGGAGGATAAGTGAGGTCCATAAGAACATTGTTACTCTAAACATATGTGAAAGTAGCAGAACTGTTAGAATAGGCGCCCTAATGGGCTGGCCTTGGGCCTGGCGCCTAGCCTGTTAGGCTGGCTGCCTTAGGGGTTAAGATAGATAGATTACATTGATAAGGCAAGGATCACCGTTGATTGGGTGTTTCTATAAACCCTATTGATCCTTGCCTATATTGTACCCTGTACTGCTGCTAATCTATCAATCAATTCCCGAGACCTATTCGCTCTCAAGAACCATAAACTTCTGCATCATGACAGTGTCCCTTTTGGTGACTAGCTTTCCTCTAGGCGATTCAAAAAGGCACCTACCTCCAGAGCCAAGGAGAGCAGTTGCAACGCCAGATACATAGCGCACAGCTTTAGGTTTGATGTGCAGGAAACTGAAGTCACCAAAGTCAAGCTTAATTTGGCAAATCATTCATCATAATCAGTACTCCATTAAAGTTGGTCTTTGCAACAGTAACGGCATTAAAGTATACCCAAAAAGCATCAGGGTGCCTTCGTAGGTAAGCGCTTCTCACTGAATCTTTTTCTTTGTCAGAAACCTGCAAATAAGAATAAGGGCGTCAGCAAACACAGTTAATATCAGGTGACATGCAAATTATGACTTTTATCCCTTGTTGGGTTTCACCGCTAGCCTACACTAACTTGCTTAAGATTAAAAGGTTTTGCTGTTGTATGCACATTATGATTTAGCAATGTATCTGAAATGTAACAAGGAAAAGGCATGATGATATATCAGTGGGAAAGCAAAGGAGGGAGGAAATTACAGGAACAGCATCACCATATACAGTGATTACAGTATCCGTTCTGTCCTCAGGGTCTTTCGCGACAAGAAGTGAGCATTTAGGATTTCCAGAGAGATTCTGCAAAATTGGTAGCAAAGCATAAGGGTCACTGGTGAAAGAAATATGTTTACAACTGTTGCCTGTGTTTACTGAATGTAGACTAGACAATTATGCAATTCAAACAAATGTTCTAGCAGTGCTAGATTTGCATATCTATGCATATTTCTTTGTTCGCCCACACATGGGCTTCGGTGTATTTTCCAGTGATGCTACCAAATTGTAAGGCATCCATGCATAATGGACATGGAAAGGTAAAACAAATAGCTTTGTATACAGAATCATGAAAGCAAAAAATTAACTTACCTTTGAATGAATTGCTAAACTACTCATTGCTAATATGGGGGAACCATCCTGATCACATGCAAAATCAACCATTGAACCAGATGGATAACCAGCATGATCCTGCAAGCATAATAATATGAAATCTCCGAATAAGATCTAGTATAATTCTGCAAGATTACATATATTGGAGTTTTGGAACTATAAATTCCCTGTTTGTTTAATTAAAAGAAAACTATGAGTTTGCCTTCACTCAGTTTTTTTGATAAATATTCTTCGTTCCTCACCAAGTAGAAAAACTTATGCTTGAAGGAAGCAGTCTGTGACATGTACAAGTACAAAACTACTCCCTTTGTTCCAAATTGTAAATCGTTTTAGCTTTTCTAGGTATAGCTTTCGCTATGCATCTAGACATAGTGTATATATGTAGGTGCATAGCAAAATGTACGTGCTTATAAAAGCAAAACGACTTACAATTTGGAACAGAGGGAGTAGAAATCATGCTCTGGTAAATATGAGAAATACCTAGATTAGCACCTGGTCCAGTAAAAACTGGATGTCACCAAAGCATTCGAAACAAAACAATAACTTCCAAAGTTTCAATAGACAAGATTGTTCTTCATGAACAGTGGGTTAGTCTCTTCACATTATACAATGCTCACTGAGTACTACAGAACTTCTGAGGGTAGATGAAGAAAAAGACTAGCTAAGCGTTTATCCAATAAGACATTCAAATCTAACAACATTTGTTGTTACATTTGCAATGTCTAGGTACCTGAGAATGCGTAGCAAGAACGCCTCTGACACTTCGGTCCAGAATGGTCCGTATTTCTTCAACTGGAGAAAGACGAGCAGCTTTTGCCTATAATTATGAGAATATTGAGTAAATCAGAAAGATCCAGATACAAGCTTAACTGACTCACTGCTTAAGTGACTCGCAAACTTATTTAAGTATTCAACCCTACCGCAGTTGTTGCAGATATACTCACTGACTCACATGATAAGTTGATTGAACATGCTGTAGGAATTGACAAGGTTCAGTTGGGACTTGGCAATAGCTATGATTTGCTACAAGAGGCAATGAGGCCTCACAACATCGTAACATGGGACTCTGGTCTTTGTAAAGAAAACATTTGCACATCATTGTATCAATGTTTTTCTTCCTCACGTTGACTTTTGAGAAGAAAATGATCATACTAAACAATCCACCTATTTCAATTGAATAGTAAGGTAACATGGGAGTTCCCGTCTTTGTCCAAAAAAAACATTTTGCACCATCATTGTATCAAACACCATCCAATTTTTTTTTGCTGAGGTCCATTCACGTTGACTTTCCATAGGCCAAAATTGAAAAATCTGATCAGCGGCATGCATGCATGCAATCTGCATGTATTAATGAGGGCAAATCTGTCATAGTTTGAGTTCCTATTCTGGATTTTGGGTGGAAGTAAACACCCTACTAAACTATTTTGCATTTTGGGTTTTGAGGGGGATTTTGATTATGGATTCTGGATTCTGCATTCCGGGGAGAACTAAACAGGCCCTAAGTTATTTTGGTGAATTTATTTAACACCCCCACCGCCCACCCCTTGGGCCCTTCACTAGTCTCAAAAATCCAAAATTGTAGACACACTGGGTCCTACTCCTACACAACTAAACGGACCCAAAACACCGGATTCACTTCACTTGAGTTGCATAGCTACTGCCCACGGGTCATGACAGACACACGATCCCCAAAGCCAACGAGAAAAGCCAAGGGCCACACCTGGTGAACGCGGATCACCTCGAACGCATCCGAGGAACCACCGGGGGCGTCGGCAGGCGCCGCCATCTGCAACGCAGACAAACAAACACCAGAGCACCATCAGCCAAATACATCACCGCCGCGGAGGCATTTCATCGAACATCTGCCCGCACGAAACGGTTAATAAGATTAGGGGCGGCCGCCGGCGGCAGGCGGAGAGGGGACGAGTCGGACCTGAGACGAGGAGGAGGACGCGAAGAATCGGCCGCGGCGGTTGCGGAGGCGAGGGTAGAGGAGGGGGGAAGCGGAGGCGGAGACGGAGACGTGACGGTGCTGGTGGTTGTGCCGGCCATTAGTAATTTGTAGGTGGAGCTGAAGGAGTAGGCGCGACAGCGTTGACGGCGAGGGCGCCTCCCGGGCGCCCGGCGTGAGAAGGAAGGGCATCGTCTTTGCGTGCACGCGTGCGCCACGGAGAGCCTCGCTGGCCGCTTGGTGGTCGCTCGGCACGGGCGCACGGCAGGCCGCGACCGCGAGCTGTGCTGCCTGTGCACACGGACGCAGGGGTAGAGTGAGTGGCGGAAGAAGGCCGTGACCTTTTTTTTTTCGAGAAGCAAGAAGGCCGTGACGCGGAAGTGTGCATCATCTCCGCACTCCAGTACATGGCCCGCGCCTCCATGACGTTTTCAGGACGACGCAAAGCAAGCAAAACTGCTGAAGTCCCACGCTCCGCACTCTCGCTCGCCCCGTCGGCCGATCGTGGCATCGGCGTGGCTCCCGGTCCCGGGTGTCGTGACGCGCGAGAAAAGCCGGCGACCCAGAGTGCTAGTACCCGCCTCGCGCACGCCGCAAAAGCAATGACGAGTTGACGACCAAAGCCAAGCCAGTCGGTCGGTCCTGCCCAAGAAAGGAAAAAAAATCAAGAACGTTACAGTCGCAGAGCCGGTACGGTACCTAAGGCTGACCTATTGGATACCAAGGCACCGTTTGGATGCTGAAATTTTTAGTGAAATACTACGTAGTATTTTCGTTGTTATTTAGCAAATAGTGTCCAATCATAGTCTAACTAAGTTTAAAAGATTTGTCTCGTAGATTTCGTCTAAACTGTGTAATTAGTTTTATTTTTTATTTATATTTAATGCTTCATGCATGCGTCCAAAGATTCGATGTGACGAGGAATCTTGAAAAATTTGGCATTTTAGAGTGGAACTAAACAGGCCCCAAATTCAAAATGGTTCTTTAGCCTCCAACAGAGTATCTATATAGAAGACTTATTTTAATGTCAGGAGAGACATAATCTAAATGTGAGTATTCTCTCTTCTGGATATCTATTTATAGAAAATATAATCTTTTAGGTTGTGTTATTGGAAAAGACTAAAAATATATATTAAATCTTTTGTCTGTAACACTACTATAAGCTAAATAAGACTTGTATTTTAGATAACGGTCGATGAAGACAGTATAACGAGGGTTTACCACCACGGGCCGGATTTTGTCTCCGAGGCTTTTCAATGCTCATAACTCGTCACTTGCTCGCTCGCGCACGGCCTTCCAGATCGAGCTCCTTCAACCACCCGTCACGTCTTGCCAGCCACTATTTTGTACTATAAGGTTCGGTTTCTTAAAATTCTTGTCATATTGAATGTTTATATATATATATATAATATTAAATATAGATTAATTATATAATTTACGTATAATTTATGAGGCGAATCGATGCTACAGTAAATATGTGTTAATGAAGGATTAATTAGGCTTAAAAAATCGTCTTGTAAATTAACCTATATTTATGTGATTGGTTTAGTAACTAATCTATATTTAATGTTCTTTAGTATTATATAAATATTTGATCGACAAATTATTAACCAAATAAACACCCCCAGGCAAAATTGGTCGTTGGCACGCCGCATTCAAAGGACTGAGTGTCGCTTCAGTGCCTGGCAGCTACCGGCGGCAGCGGGAATCTGGGCACCAACTAAAGTTCGCGGCCCGAGGCTTTATTGTAATTTTTGTTTTTAACTCGTCAATCTTGCTCGCTCGCGCATTCGGCCTTCCAGATCGAGCTCCATTTAACCACCATGTCAAACGTCTTGCCAGCCACTATTTTTTTGTTTGGGGTGTAAGGTCCGGTTTGGTCTACATTTTAGGTTACCGCTCTCAAAAATTCCATATCGCATTTAAATTCGTAGTAAGGCTTATAATCATGAATTAAGACAGCGTAATTATATAAATATAGTATAAATAATTTCAAAAGCCATACCGATAACTGAAATATATGCATAATAGAGTACCAGAGACTTATAATGTTATTTTGCCGACATTTTTATTCGACGCTTTCGAAGGGACATAAATGTCTCAATTATATCATCTTCATCAACTTCAAAAAAAATCTCTCAATGAAAGTGACTAGACAATCATCCAAAAGACTATTTATCTTATTTAATTAGCTTTGTTTTCATTAAAACCATCGTAAAAACCCTATATTTTGAATGCATTTTCCTATATTCCAATTATATCCAAATATTTCTTGAACAAGCGCATATAAAGCAAAATACACATCCTTCTTAATACTATACTCAAGCCATTCATGATTGTACATCAACAATAATTGAATTGACCTTTTTCCAGGCACCGTGCAAAAGGTTTGGTCGTTAGCACGCTCTTCAATCAGAAGGACTGATAACTAAGAATGAGTCTTTCATCCGCTGTGGAAGGCTTGATGTCATAAACCGCGAGCTCCGTCGGGTGCTACCGCCGCGGATCCAGCGTTTCCTCAAACGGGCAGACTCGCTTCTTCCACTCGGATCGTGAAGAACAAGTGAGAAATGCGTGTTTTTTTTCTTTTCTTCATGCTTCAGTTATAAATTATTCCCGGTTATTTAGAATCGCATAAAATTAACAAAGAAAATAGAGCCAAATATTTAAATAAATTATACTTGCATTGAATTCATTTATACGATATGGATCACTTACATACGTTCTTTCGAACAATAGATCGAGAATATCCACTCAGATGTTGGGAAAAATCCTCCACCTCGTTGCGTGAAAGATTATTATATAATTTTAGCGCTAAAAATTAGCAATTGATGTACAAATAAATTTTTTCAAGAACACGAATCTATATTTAAACCAAACCCGACGAGATCACGATTCTGATATGATCTGATCCGTATTGGCGTGATTAATCATTCGTAGGGCATAGGGCCGTAGGGCGTGGGCGTCGGACGTCGGCGATCGGCGACTCAGGCGTCCGCGACAAATGCGATCGGCAACTTTTTGAAATTTAGGCGTGTAACTGAGCCCGACGGAATAGTTGAAGTCGAACAGATGCGCCTCAAAATCCCCCGTCAAAGTGGTCGTTCTGGGCGTCTGGCTGCATGGGCCACGTGGGCCTGAATGCGCCGCGCCTGCCTGTCGCTTCGCTTGCCCCTGACACTCGCATCAAATGAGTTTTTTCTTTTTTTATTAAATATAAATATATGTATTTGCTGTTGCATCAGGAAAAGCAGGTATATGCCAAAGGCATAGCGATACCTCACTTAACAAGCCCTTGTTTACCTAATTAAAAAGTCATGTTTGACTGGCCACATCAAATATTTGCGGCCAAATTAAAAGATGAAAAAAAACTAATTACACAGTTTGGTGAAAAATTACGAGACGAACGTTTCGAACATGCTACATTAACCCCTAATTCAAATTCATATAACTAAACACGCTGTGAGTAGTCCGCGGGCCCGATCGCAACTGTCACGCCAGCTGTGCCCACCTCACCAGGCTGGTCTTTGCCCATGCGCGCATGACCGTTTTGCTACCGAGATCCTCTGGATCCGCCTCTCCGTGCGACCCCTCGTGGGGCTCCTGATGCCTCGTCGCCTCGACTCGACGCGTTCTATACTTGCCAGCGAACACGAAGAATTCGTGCAAACGCATCGTGTCCGAAAACAACGGCGAAATTCATTCCACCGCAGGATCTGAACTCGGTTCGATACCATGAAACGTTTTCTAAGCAACTCTTTTGTCAAGATAGCCAGAATCGCGTGCCGCTGCCTACTAGTAGCACAATATGCCGTGCGCACTAAACGAAGTTTCCTCGGCGCGGCTCGTGCCGTCTCGACTCTCGAGGACGCGCAGCGCGGGCGGGAGGCCAGGCCGGCGACGCGCTCAGACGCGCGCGTGGTCAGCAGAGCAGAGAGGATCCCAACGGCCCCCGCGGCCCCGCGCCCGCGCAACCGCAAGGCAACGCCAGGCTGCCTGACCGGCCGCGCCACCAAACGCGGCGGAACCTTCCCGTTCGCCCCAGCCAGCCCCACCGGCCACCCCCTCACGCAACCTACCTGGCCGCGCCGCGCGGGTCCCCTCCGGCCTCCGTCCGCCTCTGCCCGCCTCTATAAAACCCTCGCCCCTGCAACACCGTCCTTCCCCCACCTCCATCTCGAGCCAGCAAGCCAGCCGCCTCTCCCGGACTCCGCATCTCTCTAGAGCTTCATACCCTCGTAGAGAGATCCGGCGCGGCCCAATAAACACCCACCTCACTCCAGACTACGCGCAGAAGATGGCCGGCCTCAGGATGAAGTTCGTCGCCGTCGCCGCCATGGCCGCCGCGCTCGTGGCGTCCGCCGCAGCCGCCGAGGCCCCCGCCCCGGCGCCGGCCTCCGACGCCGCGGCCGCCGTGCCCCTCGCCGCCGCCTCCCTCGCCGCCGCCGCCTTCGGCTACCTCTTCTGCTAGATCCGGACGCGGTGGATGCGTGGTTTCTGCTTGATATGCGTGATTCGTCTGGCGTGAGTTGAGTTCCGTGTCATGCGTCTGTCTGTGTGAGAGGTGTCGGCGGGCGGGCGTGTGTATGTATGGAGTCGGCGGCGGCGGCGGAGGTGTGCGCGTGGTGGTGGTACGTGCGTCGACGCGCCATTGTTTGTGGCGGCGATCATGTACCTGCTGCGTTTTCTGGTTATCAATGAGATGATTTATTTGATTCTTTCCAGCCTGATGCCTGACTGCCTCAGCACCAAGTGCACGCAATTTTACTGTATATCATCTATGTGCGACCATTGAAGCCTATCTAGCGTGCAATCTGAGGTATCTGCGACCAACGATGCGACCAACGAATTTGTCTCGGCGATTCAATCGATTGTTTGCGTTTTTCAATTGTTTGCCTTTGCAAAGAAAACGCTACTGATAGATTATGGCCTTCGCTGCATGCCCTTCAATTCGTGCATAAAAGTTCAATGGAGCCAAAGAAGAAAAAAAATGCTGTAATACAATTGAAACAAAAAAGTTTTCTCCGGTGAACAATCATCTGAAACGAACACAGGCAGAAAGTCGTCAAGGAAATTTCTCGAAACAAATGTTGCGGCTGTGGCACGGAGTCCTGCGCCATGTGGATACTGGGCCGCTGGTTGGTTTGGAGATGCCAGGGACCAGGGTTGTTGAGGGATCCGAAGATTGAAAT